TGCCACGCCAGTGATGGGCGCGACCATTGAACCAAAAGGCCATCGAAAGGGCGTCGAAGTCCCAAACGATGGGCCCCAAGGTCTATAGCCACTGGACACCAAGGACGAGGTCGAACCCACCTAAGTCGAGGGCGAAGCAGTCGACGGAGAAGCGTAAGTTGTGGATGAGTACGTCCGTGGCGAGGCATACGCCGGGGCTGCGCACTCGATTGCCGTTGGCCACCATCACCGACAGCCTAGCACGCTCGGTGACCAACAGTCCCCAAACGAGCAGTCACTGCTCAGTGAATGAAGCTATGCGTGGAGCCCGTGTCAACCAAAGCCCTGAGCTGAATACCACAGATCACCACCTGCAGCATCATGGAATTAGCAGGCCCAAGGCCGGTGAGAGCATGTAAGGATATCTCCAGGTTGGTGACATCGTCGCCAAGCAGGCCTTCCTCGCTTCTCTTGCATCTCAGTCTGCGTTAGGCGACGAAAGCGAGAGCGCGGCCCTTCCTGCTTGTCGTCCTGCAGACTGGCAGCAAAGCCGAAGGCGCCGGTCGAAGCAGTGGCGCAGCGAGTAGAACACTTAGGTGCCGCCGAGCTGTTGACAGTGGCTGACCCATGCCCGTGCCAAACTCATGGCCTGCTGCAGATCGACGGGGTGCTGTAGCTCCACATCGGAGGCCAGTGGCTGACCCAGGCCACTGGTGTAGAGGTCAATCTTAGTCCGCGTGGTGAGGTTGTCACAACGCGACAGCAAGGCAAGGTAGCGCCATGAATACTCCTCAACAGTGCTTGTGCGGAAGAGGGCCTTGATCTCCCCGAGGGAATTGGAGCGGATGGGTGGCCTGAAGCAGAGGTTGACAAAATCGACAAAGAGGAGGTTGACGAAATCGACGAAGCGTGGCCAAGAGACCATGCCGAAGTCACGCTCCATCTAGTAATACCACTCCGCAGCGGTGCCGTCGAGATGCAGAGACGCCATCCAAACCTTCTCATCCTCTGGAACGCAATGCCCGCAAAAGTAATTGTCACATTTGTTGAGCCAAGTTAGCGGGTCTAACTCCCCGTTGAAGTTGGGAAACAGAATCTTAGGCGGCCGGTGGGGCTCTCGGCGACCGTCTGGGGCACCGCGGAAGCGGCCGCCGCGATCGAAGGCCCGGCCTCTGTGGTCGCACTCACGGTCACCGCGGCCGTAATCTCACCGCTGCGGTCATAGTCTCGGCTGCCGCGGTCGTCATAGTCACGGCTGCCACGGTCATCGTAGTCGCGGACGCCGCGTCCGTAGAAGACAAGATCGAAGCGCCCCTGGTCGCGACAATCATAGCGACCGTGCGAGTCCAGCTAGCGGTCCCGATCACGGATGGCGCGGTCGCGGAACTCCGCCCAGGCGCGATCCCGATCGACGTCGCACCCATCATAGTCCTCGCTGCCACCACGGTTGTCATCCCCGCCGATGCGGGTGTTGACCTCACCGCCGTGGTGGCCGTCCCCGCCGCTGCCCTTGCCAGCGTCGGGCTTGCCCGTCTCCACGCGCGCGAGCCTAACGTCGTGGGATTGAGGCGGTTGTTGATGTTGTTGAGCTGGCCCAAGATACAATCTAGTTTCGCATCCATGGCCACAGGATCGAGAGGAGTGCCAGACATGGTGGTTGATGCACTCGTGGAGGTCTTTGATGCCAAATTGATGCGGCGTGGGCAATGCAGTGAGCGTAGAGGAGAACGGAGGAGTAGATGGGACTTGGAATTGGAACGCAGAAGGTAGCGAGGAATCTCAGCGGTGGGAACTTGTCCGGTGTCAGCGGCTGAAACGCCCGACACCACCGTCAAGGGGTAAAACCCCATCCCAATACCCAGGGAGGTTTATTCCTTCTTTGATAAAGATTACAATCTCCTAAGGTGCCCTTTATAATATAGGTGCACTGCCAACAATAATAAAATCAATCAATAAAAATTCTCCCTTTCCAAAACAGCCGAGCCTAGCCATGGCTTGGGTTGGGGGCTTGTTTGGGGCGACGCATGTACTGGCGGCCCACAACAAAGGTTAGCAATGTGCGGGCGCGGGTTGCAGCAACTAGGTATACCTCGGTCCTCGACAGGCGTCGCTGCCTCGTCACAAGATCTGCACGTGCCACCACGAGGACCAGCGGGTGGAACGACGGCGGCGCGGATCCCGTACGGACAGTGCGGTTGCAGTGCTTTGGTCGCTCAGGCGGCAACACCATGGCTCTCGGACTCGGTCATACACTTTGCTGTAGCTAGTGTGGCGCCCGTGGCCATGGTTCTATGTCGGACGTAGGGAACAGAACGGGCCATGCCTGCGACCGTGCTGCCATGCCACTGGGCCCACACCATGGCCACTCATGCGCCGCCACCGCACGCCGCGCTGCGTACCGCTAGCAATGCCCCTTGAGCCTCTCACGGTCTCGCCACGAACCGCCGGGTGCTGCTCTTTTGCTCACCTGGCAGGCTGGCACAACTATTATTTGTCCATTTAACATGACAACAAATTTTAGATGTCCAATTTTGGCTGAATTTTAAAAATTTGGCAGATATATATGATGTCCAAATAAATTGTTTGTCTGAATTTTAGCATACATATGGTGTCCAAATTTTGTAAACTTTGAAAAACTTTACCCAGATTTATAATACTAAACCGAACCCATAAATTTATGTCTAATTTCTACAAAATATGTCAAAAGTTTAATTTTGAAATAAGGGTAAAATCACAACATTCTCTAACAAAATAGGGGTGAAATCATATGGGCAATCTTGTCCATGCATCCAAAATTTAACACCGTGAACTACACTTCACGGAGTAGGGGCGGACTCTTCTTTCAGTTCGAAAACGCAGGGGTAAAATCACAAAGTTTAAAAAACGAGGGCAAAATCACCATTTCGCTTCAAAACAAGGGCACAAACGCTTAAGCCCCTAGTTTTATATAGGATAAGATTGCACAGTTATGTATTGTGTATTGCTGCAGTAAAATATTCAGTTGGGTGGTTTTTTAAACAAGCAGCCAAAAACACCAACTCTCAAGCCTAAATCAATTAACACAGGCGAGGCTTTCTTACCTCATGATGTTTCCGTGACACTTGGTGTGCAGGCCAAAGTGCTTCAGACTTTAGCGTAATATTGCATACTCTGCATGTGGGCTGGTCAAATTCGTTATACCTGCACAAGATTATGAAGCTTTAAGATGTCAATTTGATGTCTCATAGTTCATGGTAGTATTTCTTAACTAAGATCCTCAGCAGTCCGAGTGCAATTTGAAACACATTCACAGTTTGTAGTTAAAACTCAGGGCGACTACTTGTGGTCTTTACATCTATGCTCTCAAGATCTATGACAGCATATGCAGAATAACTAAATGATGCACAGATGCAGGATACTGGTCACTGGAATCATTATTTCAAAAAAAAAAATGGTCACTGGAATCCATTCGAACTAAAATTTCGATATCACGTTGGGGAGAAAAACAATAGGTTAGAGAAAAACAATATGTAAGAGTCCAAACCATGATAATGCTAAGCATTAATTCAGCGAACCAAGAGTCATACTGTAATTCGGAGGTAGTGTGAATTGGTTAGAGAAAAACAACAAAAAGAAAGGCTAGTTTTTGCACATGACTAGCCAGAATTCGCGCCGGCTGTTCGTCCAAATGCCCTATGGTTACACCTTGTACAGGTGCGGCAGCCATCCCAGACACTGAATGATCTTAGCGGCAGGCCACAAAAAGATAATCGAGAACCAAATCGAAGACACAGATCGAGAGAGAGAGAGAGAGAGTCAGTGGAGGACCTAACGAGCGCCGGGTCAATGCGCCGCTGCTGCTTCTCCTTGGTCTCGCGGAGCTTCGCACGGAAGATGGCCTTCCTCTGGTCCATACCAGGCCAGCAAGGCCACCCCTAGAACCCGAGCCTGCCTACTTCGCCTTCGCCAACGGATGCTGCGGCTGGCGGCCGGGTCCTTCGGTCCGCATCTAGAAGGTTTTGAGGAAGGGAAGCTATCGCCACAGGAGGAGGCGAGGGCGGGGGGAGAAACGAGCGGGTGGGGAAGCGAGATGGGCAACTGACAATAGCAAATAAAGCAGCAACAACCAACGAGATCACAGTGAGAAACCTGTTACAAATTTAAAGATAACACAAATTGCTTCAGTCAAACAAAATAAAAATTCCTATACAGCTAGTAGTTGAACACTAAAAGACATAATAACAAATTTCCTATACAGCTAGCACACCATAACCAATGAATCACAGTGCAAAATAGAGCAGCTATAAAAAAATTAGTCACTGGAAATTTCTGTTATGTCTAAATTTGTGCAAAATAGAGCAGCAAAATTCATTGACGGAATTATATGACAGGTGAATTAATCTGTATATATAGAGCAGCAAAAATAGCCACTGAAAATCAATCAAAAGCGCATCTAGATGCAAGATTTGAAAGAATTGGAAGAGAAATCCTCAGGTCACTACTACAACCAAGCTTCGATAGTGCAATATTGGTGCAGGGATCACAATAGCGAGCAGTTAATTCACCACAGAAAGTCTAGCACAGATCAAGAACATATATGCTACATACTGATTCGTGTAGGGGAAAAGGAAACCAGGATGGAGAGACGAGGCAATTAGAGGCAGGAAGAGGTCATGGTCTGACCTTGCTGACCGACTGAGAGCCCAATTGTTCTTCAAGACAGGGGCGCCAGAGTTGGTGGTCCAGAAACTAGAGTTGCTCCCGCTAGACGTCCGGTGCTGCAACAACAAAGAAGCCCCCAACCGCAGTTCAAATGCCACGGCGAGTGAAATCAAGTCAGATGAGCGCATCAATCAACAAGAGCGGAAAGGAAAAATATAAGATGACAAATTGATTGAGGATCTGAATAGGACAAATCCATGGAAAATAAATCGAAATCGTAAAAGAAAAAGAAAAGAGGCAGCACCGTACGACGGCGGAGGGGGCTGGGGCTGCTGCCAGAAGGACGGCGTGCGACAGTGCTGTTGGCTGTTGCCTGGGGGATGGTCGGCAGCGGCGTAGTGGCGTGGTGTCCCGGGGCGGCGCTGCTGGTGGCGGCTGGCGGGTGGCTGGGTGCAGCAGTCGGCGACGACAAAGTTGCCGGCGTGGTGGCTCGGGCCTCGGGGCGGTGCGGGTGGCGGGCGGCGCAGGTGGCTGCCGGCTCCGCGGCCGGTGGCGCGGCTTCCGGCTCCGCGCGGGCGGCGCTGGTGCGGGCGGCACTGGTGCCTGGACGCAGTGACGCGGCGGGATGGGCGGCGCGAATCTGGTGGCCGTGGGTGTCGAGAACCAGGTGGAAAGCGTTTTTTTTACGGTAGCTTAATCTCCTGCAACTAAATAAAAAGAAATAAGCGAACATTTTTTTCCGACAATCCAGCTTCGTCCTGTCCCTCTGTCCCGTGCGATACCTCTCCCCCGCGCCGTCGCCCTTTCCTCCCGCGGCCCAGGTCTCGATCCCCCTCCCCTCGCTTTGCCCTTGCGCTCGTCGCTCCCGCGCCGTCGCCCTTGCTCGAGTCCCGAGATCCAGCTCTGCTTCTCATCGCGAGATCCCGCTCGCTCCCCCTCCCCCCGAGCGTGCGCTCCCCCTCACGAAATCCCACTCGCTCGCCCGTGCATGCACTCCCCCTCGCGAGATCCCGCCGTGCGGCCGCGCCGTCATCCTCGCCGTGCGCGCCCGCTCCGTCGTCGCATCCAACCCTACCATAGGCGTGTCGGCATCCAACGCTCTCGGGCAGCCGGGGGTCGATTCCCATGCCCCGTGGGGGAGGACACGGCCGCTGCCGCCCGCCCCACCAAAACCACCAGCATGCCGCTGCGCCCTTCTCCCATCCGCCCCATGCGCCCGCCACCCTTCCCTATCCTCGCCGCGAAAGACGCCGCGCCGTGCGTAGCTAGCAGTGCCGGCGCACGCGAGTCGGATAAGGATTGGATTTGGCTCTTCGTCTCCCCCCTCCTTCGGTCCTTCTCCTTCCACCCCCCTCTTCGCCTCGTCCGCGGTGGCAAGCTCAAGCTCGGGAACTCGCTGCCCAGGTATGCATCTCTCCCCCTAGAACTCTGAGTTCCAATCTCCCACCACAATCCCGAGATTTCTGTTTTTTCTGGATATTTTTTTCCGAATTTTTATGCGCAAAATTTACTCGATCTTGCTTTCGCAGAAGTGCAGATTTCTCTAGGGATTTGGTGGCGTATCCATGAGGGAGCCGGATTAGTTAGAGGCTTCATGATGGCGGCCGCGAAGGCAGATGTAGACGTGGAAATGGGAGACAGCGGCGGGGCCGGCGGTGGCGTCAGCGGCGGCTCCTTCAGCGAGCAGAGGCTGATTGATAAGCTCAATAGGCTCAACAACTCAGCCACTAGGATTCAAAGTATCCTTTCTTCCGTGTTTACTTTACTGCACGCTAGCAAATTTGGTAGCCTGGTGTTTGCTGTCTGTTTCATATTCTCTTGATTAAGTAAAGCCCTAACATGTAAATTGCAATGTCTGTGAGTACAACTTGCTAGGAGATCTAAGTATAACTGTATTGTTCTGTTCCGCACAGTGCTTATTGTGTTGTTAGTTTGGTGGTGCACAAATATAGAAATTGTAAATCCGCTTGTGTAGTGTATCAGTATTACAGTATGATTTATATTACTCTACTTCCTAACAGTTCTCTTGATTCTAGAGTCTTTCTCGTGCAGTTTATTTGAATAAGATAGTTCTCTTATTGTAAATGCAAATCAACCACGTTACAAGTCTTGGATTTCGAGTCAGCTTTGTGCTGCACTTGAATATATGTGTTTCTGTCTTTGGACATAAGTGCGTAGAAACCAGCACTGCACCGCTGGAAAGATGACATAGGCTACCATCTCATCTAGTGATTAGTATCGTCATTAATGCTCTTGTTGGGTTTTAACTCTGGCCTGCCCCAACTTTCTGGGGACTAAATGGCTTTGTTTTTGTTGTCTTTACTGCCAATGCTTGGTTTCTATTTCTCTATAAAGATGAATTTCATTGTCTTTGAGGTTGTCCCCTTTGTGAAATGGAAAATGATAACATGAATTCCTAAATTTCATTGTCTTTTCAGGCTGTTCCCTTTGTGAAATGGAAAATGATAACATGAATTCCTAATACGTCGCTCTACCTACCGACCGCATCTCCGCCCATGGGGGAGGACACGGCCGCCGCTGCCCGCCCTGCACGGCCTCACGCTGGAGGAGCTCGCGATGGCGGTGTGGCCATAGAGGACGAGGAGCCCGTAGACTCGCCGGCCTCCGCCATCGTGGACTGAGCGTTCCACCTGCAGCCTGCCTTGCCTTCCTCCTTTGGATTTGCATCGGAGGGGAAGTTGCAGTCCCACTCCCACCTCGATGCACGGGACTCGACGCAGGCAGCCTAGGGGCATGCCGTCGCTTGGAGACACGGTGGCCAAGGGGGCAGGTGCCGCCATGGCCTCAACGCATGACGGACGATGGCTGGCACCGTCGCTGCCTGGAGTCCAAGATTTGGAACGGCCCACATTGATCCAGCAGTTGCAACTCTTGACTCTAGGTACGATTCAATTTGACCGTCTCTTCCCCATTCTCATTGGTTTTTGGTTTTGATCCGTGTTGATTGCGGTTTTGATGGTGATTTGTTTGTGTTGTTCCAAGAACCATTTGTTGCCGAGCTTCATGGACACGTCGACTAGAAGTGGCAGCGACAGTGATCGGAATGGCAAAAAATAGGACATGAGCATTCAACGCTGCCCAAGAAAGGCATGTTCAGGTACGTGGACCGCCTCCTCCACGAATCCACCCGAGCCTTGCGTTACTTTAGCAAATCTAACAACACCACATGCCTAGGTCAGTGCTTGCATCTTCCGATCCATCTATAGCAGCCAACCAGTATGGGAGTTAACTTGCCCTTCCAAATCAAGGTTTTTTCATATGTCACATCTTTTTGGATGAATTGCTTGATATGCTTTGCCCTGCTACAGGTTGCCAGGCTTTCCTTGCAATAGATAAAAGAGCTATTCTCTGCACATAATTAGTGGATGAATCCTACCTATATATATTAAATGGGAACTTTGCAGATGCATGGATGAATTCTCTCCATTTTCAGTAGTGGTCATGTGTTTTTGAAAAGCCATTAGAAAAGCAAGATGCATATGAACAATTTACAGTGGTGGTCACTGAGAAGTAGGATATCACAATGCTTTCCTCGCATGCTCATGCCAATATGTCATGCCTTAGTAGAGCTTCTAAAGTGTGTCAAACTGTACGCTCTTATCTACTTGTTAAAGTTATGTAGATAAAAAATTCTTAGAAAATGGTGTCCTCAAATTGCAGTTGTTGTTTTAGCAAGGTCGGTTTCTCTTACTATATGGTCAAAAAGTGATGAAAAAAGTTGTGTTAATTGTGATGTGTATTTTTTGGTGTGCCCACAATACAGTGTTGAAAGGATCAAGATGCCCAAGAGAGGGGGTGAATTGGGCTAATTCTAAATTTTCTTGCAATAATCAAATCCTACGGATAGCCCAATTAACCTCTTGTGCCTAGAAAAAGTGTTTCTATCAAATCAACGCACAAAAGACTTGCAACCTATGTTCCAAACTTACTCTAGCATAGCAATTCTATGAATGTAAAGACGAGTATTGAATTGCTCAAAGTAAATACTTAAAGTAAATGCTCAAAGTAAATGGAGAGAGGAACGCGGTGATGTTTTGCCGAGGTATCGGAGAGTCGCCACTCTCCACTAGTCCTCGTTGGAGCACCCACGCAAGGGTGTAGCTCCCCCTTGATCCGCGCAAGGATCAAGTGCTCTCTACGGGTTGATTCTTCGACACTCCGTCACGGCGAATCACCCAAAACCGCTCACAACTTGAGTTGGGTCACCCACAAGCTTCGCCGGGTGATCACCAAGCTCCCAATCACCACCAAGCCGTCTAGGTGATGGCGATCACCAAGAGTAACAAGCACGAACTCTCACTTGATCACGCGAAGCCTAATGAGAAGATGGATGCACACTTGCCTACTCTTGATTCACTAATGAGGTTTCACTCTTGGATTCTCAAATCACAAACACCTCACTAGGACCTTGCTCTTCTTGGCACTCACAAACGTGTTTCTCAGCTGTTGGAATGAGCAAAAGTAACTCCACACACGAGTGGAGCTTCTATTTATAAGGCAGCCTGAAAAACAAACTGTTATGAGCTTCTACGGGATGACCGGACGCTCCGATCGTATTGACCGGACGCTCCGGTCAGTTCAATCCGCGCAACAGTTTCCAAGTGATGACCGGACGCTGTCAGGGTCCGGTCAGCACTGACCGGACGCGTCCGGTCGCTCTTGGATGCTTACTGTAATCGACCGGACGCTGGATACTCAGGGTCCGGTCACCACTGACTGGACGCGTCCGGTCACACTTTCTCAAGTCAGGACCCTTACTGGAGTTGACCGGACGCTGGCCCTCAGTGTCCGGTCACATTGACCTTCCAGCGTCCGGTCACACCAGACTTGTTCTCCTCGGTCAAATGAACTGACCGGACCCTGCGGCCAGCGTTTGGTCGCACCGGAGCCAGCGTCCGGTCAGTATTTGACCCTCCATTCACTTCCAACTCTCGATCATATGAGAATGAAGTTTGCTCCAAAGGATCTTAGGCATTCATAGGAGCTACCTAGAGCTAGTTTTAACAAGTGTGCACCACACCTAACTTACTAGACTCAACTAGGTCAAGCTACCCGTTCATACCCCCCTTAATAGTATGGCCAAAGGAGAAAACAAAGTCCTAAACTATTCTAAATATCTCTCCAACTCCAATCGACACTTAGAACTAGTCATCCTTAACCTTGTCGTTAATCCTTTGAAAACCGAAACGATTTCCATCGTAGGGGCATGACAACCTCGATTGCCCAATCGATCTCCATTACCATGACCTAACTTTATATGCCTCTACAAAACACACGTTAGTCATAGTAATCTTGTATTGACATTAATCACCGAAATCCAACCAGGGGCCTAGATGCTTTCAATCTCCCCCTTTTTGGTGATTGATGACAATACCACCTCGAGTATGTGAAAGAGTGAGGTTTTTTTGACGGACTTGGTTCATATAAGCTTTTGTCGATAAGAACAAAAGTGTTAGTCAAGCTTATATGACCCAAGCCAACACAATGTACTCAAAGGATATTAATTAAGCATGAGTACAAATAACAAAGCTCATTTGCTTCGAAGTTTAAACGCGGAAGCAAAAGCAAATGAGCATAACACAAGTGATATGACATTTAAATAATGCAAAGTAGAAAGCTCACATGTCATATTTCACAATCACGTAGATAGCACTACCACATATATATAATA